CTAGCGATGAACTAAACGAAACTTTGTGCAATAAATAATTTCGGGAGTTCTTCGGCGAACTTTGACCGTATATTTGTGTTGTTATAATTTCATAAAACAATGTACACTCTCCCTTGTCACCTCTGCGGTCTTTTATCATCTTTCGCGCGTACATTGCTTCGTAAAATTATAACGAGACGCAACCGTTTCGCTTCACCTCCGAAGCAGCTGAAATTATTTATTGCACAACCTAATATTAAGGCTCTCGGATATTCAGATGCTCGGATGCTCAGATATTCATCGAGAATTAACTTTGGCCAATAATTCATCGCGATAAACGCGTGGCGACGATCCGCCGTACGAGACATTTCTCACTCTTAAACGTGAGCTGTGTCTTTCAGCGTCGAAGCGACTCCACATCCCGCTAATATCCCATTTTAATCCCTCCCCTCACGTCCCAAATGAAAGCGATGCTAATTTTTATTTTTTATGTGGCGTTGCGAGGATCCTGCCTCAGCCTCGGACTTTGGCCAAGATTAATCTTTGACGATAGAACTACCGATGTTGTTGTTCCTCGGCAAGGCGCGCTGTTTGTTCGTTCATTTCGGTCGCTTGAGGTAACGTCTCAGGTGTTTCCGACATGTTTGTTCTAAATAACTGCGAATCTTACGTTACAGCAATATTTATAAGAATAAAAAAAATAAGAGGAAAAAGAGAGAGAGAGAGAGAGAGAGAAGAAGACATAATCCTACTCCTGCGAGTCCCCGAGTAAGCACTTCGTTAATTCGTCTTTCATCCGTGGCGCGATCTGTGGTACCTTTCACTCACTCTCTGAATCCTTATGATCCATCGTTAATATTCAGCGATTGTGCCGTGAACGACGGACGGATTCGCGATTTAACGTCGGGAGCGTCGGGAACAGCTGAGCCACGACGTGGAGGGACTCGCGAGTCCTGTTAAAGATGCCACGCATGCCGCTCGCTTCGGTCAATAATGCACGCGTATATTTTTCTTCCATTAGTTTTTCACTCGACGAGGCGCAAGGTACCGCGGAAAATCGCGAATCCCGATGCTGCCTTATCGACGGCGAAGTAAGAAATCGACGAGGAATCCTGCGCGAAGACAGCTAGAGGACTCAAAGAGACGTTTCCGCCGTTCGGCCTTGGCTCGGACGGAATAACAACGGAGATGCGTATGAGAAAGAGACTACAAATTCCCAATGAAAAAAAACAGTCATCATGTTGAAACAAACACCGGAACTGGATCAGCCGCACGGATGCGTTTCTGACGGAAGATGACTCACTCGTGACCGTTATCGGTTATGACAGGAAATGAAGTGACAATGTCACAATTGCAACGGACGACTCGGAAAAAACGCGAGTAACTTTATTATATTCGTTTGAGGTGAGAATATCTCAATAAAGATAATGAAGAATAAAACAACGAGTATAATAAGTGATTTTTCTCGCCTTCGTCAGACGAAAGTGTAATAATAAAGAATATAATGAAACGGGAAATGATTTTTCGCTTTAAATCAGAGCGCAAACTCGCGGATCATCGGCGAAAAACGCTCCTCTCGCTGGGATCCCATCGCGAACATTTTTAGCGATTCACTTTAAAGGGCGCTTTAAAAGCGGTAGGTCAGTTCCGTGCGTGTTCGGGAAGCTCCGGAAAGGAAGGCGCTTGTGTCCTCATCCAGCATCGTGAGACAGCGTCGCCGGTTAATCCGGCATTTACGTGCGCAAATACGTGTAATCTCGAGCAGCGAGACAGCGTCGCGGCGATAAAGTCGTAAAGATCTCGTGGAAACGTCATAAAACCGTGACGAGGAACCCGCTGCTTCTTTTTTCCCCCGGCTGCGTCTGGCTAAAACGCGCTGTGCAGCGAGCCTCGCGGACGAAATTCCGGCTTTCCGACGTGTGCGCCGACGAATAAGGCGCGATCTTATCTCCCGGCTGAATGTAATCTCAATTAACGCATCGGAAGCCTGCGAATTGCGAGGCGCGGCGCTCGAGCCTCGACTATTTCAATAGAAGACTTGTACGTTCATTAAATATTTATAGCTCTATTGCGGAGCTGACAGCGCGATTTAGAGATTCTTTCTGGGCGGTTGCTCCGCAACGACGAGTGCATCGACGAGCACGAGGAGGCGTTGACCTCCATTGCCGAATCCACAGCTCGAGTATGTGTACGTGTGTGTGTGTGTGTGTGTGTGCGCGCGCGCGAATCGGTTTCATCAAAGACTTTCGTTTTCGCGAAACGTACTATTCGCCCGGGGACGAAGTGACCCCGACGGCCAGCGCGTTGAGAAAAAAGCGTAGCCGACATTTTGTACGCCATAATCGCGCGGTAATTACAGCAATTACAGTGATTAGCGAATCCGTTCCGTTCGCGCCGTCTAAATTCAGGCAAGAATACAGAGTACAAAGAGGGATGTAACATTTGTGGCACGAATTCCCGTGAATTCTGACTCTGAATCTCATCGAACCTTTTCAATTACAGAGAGTGAATTTTTCACTCGCGAATTTGAGAGATGAATGAAGAAACGAATAGATTTGACGGAGAAATGAGCGACAAGTCACGCGAGCTCCCTCGGCGGTCGCTCTGCTTTCCGAGCGGAGCTTTGCTCAGAGAAATCGAGAAAGCTGGCTAGCGTGCTATTCTAGTGCTAATGACAATTAACACACGCCGATACGCAAATTGCTAGCGCTATTTTTCTCTTAGAACAACAAGGGGTGGGGACGGGCATAGTTTTCGCCAGACGCGACTGTGACTTCGTGTGAGACTGAGATTTAACCATTTTTGTTTTCTCTATGCGCCTCGAGCGAAAGGAAGATGCTTCTGCGTCGACGTTTTTCGACGTTCTCCGCGGTCGCTTGTCACGTCGGGAGATTAATGCCATGCTACGGTAATAGATACGTATTAGAAATTTATCATCTCCAAAAAAATGAGGGGCCGATTGGGAAACGCGCGGCGTGTCGTTTCGCCAGCCAGCGAGTGATTCACCGTTGTTAGTGGCGACGCTTAAACCCCGTTACGTAAGCGCCGTCATTCATCGTCGGTTTAAGAGCATTGTTTTACGGAGCGACTCGCGAGAAGTGATAAAGCGAGCTTGGATTTTTACGGTCGAAATTCTCTCGCGACCGGAGCCGGAGAAAAGCGCGGCACCTTCTCGTTGTTCACGCGCGATGAAATTATCATTTTTATCATCACTCGCAAGCGCTAATCGCCACTGAAAACCGCCGATAAGATGCAGGCAAGATATATGAAATAAGTGAAATATCGGTGAAAAAATCTGTTCTCTCCAAGGGGAACCTGAGACTTCAAATTGCGCGCAACAGAAACGATCAGTTCGCCGATCGAGTAACTGATAATTACAAATAAAATTACGAGTGTATATACGGTATTTATTACGGTTTAAAGAAATGGGAAGAGGAAACAGATGCAAGGTGCGCAGAAAGAAGCGAAGAGAAATTCCTGTTTATTCGTCTTTCGTTTATCCGGAAGGTAAAGAAAAAAATGTCTGAAAAAGATTCCAACGAACGACGACGCCCCTCGGAAGCTTTAATTGTTGCACGACGAAAAATGAATTGCAAATATCGTTGCGGAGCTCTGACCTCCTCGCAAATTTTCATTTATTTCGCTGTACACTGTTCACACACGATGACAATCTTAGGTGTGCCGTTCATCTTGGATCGAGCGAAATATTTAACGAGGTGTCAAAACACCCGGGCGAGGCGTTCGGCGTTCTTGAAATATGTGTGAACCGCTGTTCCGTCGCTCGCGCATCCGGGCCTTCAATTATTCTCTTCCTCGGGAAAATGGCCCCGAGAGACGGGGTGGCTCTCGCGCGATCACCCTGTCGCCCGGTCAGGATAAATGATAAATTACTCTGCGTATTCGGCTTGCGCGGCGCGGCGCGGCCACGTCCGTCAAGGCTCCACGGATTTGTTACACGTTGGTTGAATTTATAACGCGCGCGCATGTGAGAGGGAAAGAGAGAGAGAGAGAGAGAGAGAGAGAGAAAGAGAAAGAGAAAAAGAAGCAACGAAAATTCGCATTACGGGATCATCGGGTCAATGGAACGGCGCGGCGAAAAACGCACGCCGTATTAGGCGATACCGCGTGCGCTCCTTTCCGCCGACATTGAGAAAAATTTATGATCGACTTAGCCGAGAGAATTTTTATTCCACCTCCGACATGCACAGGATAATCCTTTGTTATCAAACAACATGTTTGCGTTACGAGATTCGTCTTGTTGCCTTTAACATTTTAAATAAAGCTCTCTCTTTCTCTCTCTCTCTCTCTCTCTCGTCCTCTCTGCTTTTCTCTCGCGAGCGTTCTGTGCCTTTCAAGCATTCTCTTAAAACTGCATGACATACATATCGAGCTTTGGATCTTCTGGTAATTTGCGGAGCTTCCGGACTTTAAGAGTCTACCCTCGTTTCCCGACGTAACCTTTCACACGATTCTCGCTTAATTTTCCAAAGTAATTTATTCAGTTTCAACATAAACGCATCGTTGCTACCTTGGGGCGCCGAGCTGATATCTAGAATTTCATTGGCCTTGGGTAAACGCGTACCACACGCGCTTACCTTGTGGCCCCCGAAGGCAGACTGGAAGGACGTACGTGAGTCTGGTTTCTCAAGAAAGTTAATTCTAAGTATTAAAATTTCTTATCGAATATTTATCACACGCGTGCATACACACATGCATGTATGCGAATTCTTTCATAACGAATATCGTGATCCATCATGCACGGATGCTTGGAAACGGGACGGTGCGGAGAGAAATGCCAAAAAGTGATCGGTGAATTCTCGCGAGCACGAATGTCGCATCGCGGGGGTCATTATGCCGACGTTTTTGCGGTCATCGTGCCGCGCGCCCCACTATCAGCCTCGTTGAAAATGTTGCAACGCTCGCACGCGCGCGCGTGTCAATACGCCCGCCAGAAATCTATCAATGAGAGGGAGGTCCTCTTGCCTCTGTGGCGAGGTTTCGGCGACGGTATATAAAAGCACCTTCTCAATTTCGATTTTACAGAAGGACACAAACACTCGTCATCAGCATCATGTACACCACGGTGAGTCTGCGACTCGGCAAGATTACTCGATCATCGCTCCCTCACGCAATTTCCCACCTCGCAACTTTTCTCGTTCGGAGATGAACGGATTCGAATAAAAATCCGTCGAATGTTCCACGCACCCGAGATATCCAACTTTTCTAGTTTCAAATTGCTCCAAAACAGAAGGAAAGAAGAAGATCATTTTGATTTCACGCGAATTCGATTAAGATTGACCTTCAAACGTCACTTGCTTCAAACGTCACAAGTCCCGCATCGCTTCGACCGCCATAGCTCAACGTGTCCTTTTCGTCCTACATCGAGCGACCAAAAATTTCTTGCAGACCCTCGCTCTCCTCTGCACTCTCGCGGCGGCCGCGTTCGCGGCACCGGCGGCGAAACAATCGAAGGACGAGCCGGTTCCGATCCTGGCCTACAGCTTCGACGGGCCGAATCCGGAGGGTTCGTACAGCTACAGCTACGAGACCGGGAACGGCATTAAGGCGCAGGAACAGGGCCAGCTGGCGAAGATCGCCGGCGACGAGGACGCTCTTCGCGTGCAAGGCTCCTTCAGTTACGTCGGCGTCGACGGCAATACCATCGGCCTGACTTACGTCGCCGACGAGAACGGCTTCCAGCCGAAGGGCGACCACTTGCCAACCCCGCCTCCAGTGCCCGCCGACATCCTGAAGGCTCTGGAATACATCGCCGTGCATCCCGAGGAGGACAACCTGTGAGAGTGACCTGCGGCGCAGCGGGTCGTTCCGACTGAAGTCATACGCGAGTCGGGTCAGTCTAGAAAGAGTTCGATTCTCAATCTCTGAGTCCACTCTCATTCGATTTGCGATAGTTGAGTGAGCATGAATCGTTCATCAACCAAACGTCGTTATCCGTGATTCTTCGTCAACGTTCTAACGTTGCCAGAACATTAACGAACGTTAATGTTCTGGCAACAGAACATTATGAGCATTTCTCTTTTTATTGGCGAAGAAGAAAGAGAAGAGAAGCGTTGTTGGAAACGTCTCGTCAAGTATAAAATTTTCTTAGAGATTTGATATCTTACACTTCCTTATGGAAACGTCAGCATTGTCAGCAAATGTCAGCATTGTTGTTTTTTATTACATATATGAGACGTCAATTATTGGAAATCGAATTGATTTTTTGACCGATCCGGCACGAAGTTCCGGCACGAAGTATCGTTAATACAAATAATTTGCGAGAAAAAGAGTGAAAAAGAGAAAGAGGGAGGGAGAGAGAGAGAGAGAGGGAGAGAGAGGGAGAGAGAGAGGGAGAGAGAGAGAGAGAGAGAGAGAGAGAGAGATATTTTCACGGTAATTGTAAGGATGCGATGCACGAAATACGAAAGATAAGGTACAAGTTATTCAAGCGAGGAGTGGACCTGAGGAGAGGAGAGGAGAACGGACCGTAGCTCCGTTCTGAACGTCATTACGTTCTTTCACCTCTTTGAAGATTTCACTTGAAGATTCGATATCCTTGGCGTAATATCGAGACACCGATATCGCCATAGTAACGCGGCGCGCGCTCCGAGAGTTCCGGAATCTAAACGGAAATTTAATCTCACCGAGATTACGCCAATTACGATGTCGGGAGATTTTATATTCTTGCGTCTGCAAGTTCCACAAACTCGCATGATTCGAACGTGAAGTTCGCTCGTTGCGCGCGCGCGCGAGAGAGAGAGAGAGAGAGAGAGAGAGAGAGGGGAGGGAGGAAACAGGGTGACGTTCCACGGGTGCCAGCTCCGAGTTAGTATAGTCAATTAGTACCTACTGTGTTAATTAAGGAGAGCCTCGTGGCGCATGTATTATGTATAGAGTCGCTGCGACGGCAACGTTTATATTAAACGCTGCTGAACTCGACGAAATAAATTTCGATCGTACGCTCAGTCAGCCATGCGTTTCTTCCACGATTAAAATTTACCTGACCGTCGAGCCGTAAACACGTCACGGATGTCCTGCTCATTAAAACGTATCAAATCGCTCGTGATTTGAATACGTCGTGGCATGAGGCGAGCGGACGGGCGAGCTCGCTCGTGCGATTATACGAATAACGCGAGAGGCTATATTTAACGAACATCACGTGTAGATGACGCAATAATGGTCGTGAAACATGATGGAATAGCATGACATTGGCCCAAATTTGTTGTCGCTAACGGATAAGCTCGCTTCACATGTCCGATCTTTTTCTCATTCATTTTCAGCAATATATATTACTGAAAGAAAATGAAAAATAGTAAATAAAGATAAAAATGCAATTGGAGAGAAATGGAGAAAAAAATAGTTTCCTCCGTAATTAGTACGCGCACGTAATGTTTCGAAGAGACGCCCGTCGACGATGAGTCGTGCGTATCGAGGCGAATAAATCCCTCGCGCGCTCAGGACTGATTACGCTACATTTTTATGCGATCGCTGCGCGCGCGAGTGTGTACGCGTTATTTTGTCTGGCAGCATCCTCGAAAGAAGATTTTCGCAATCCCGGCTGAAAAATGGCGGCGTGCGAGCAATCTCCCCGGGAACGTAGCACGTGCTAATCCAAAACGCCACACAATCCTGCCGGCGTGGCGTCGCGCGGCACGTAGTATCCGCGCGGATTCACAAAGACGTGCGATTTAAATAAGATAAATGCCCGTCGTCTTACGCGGCGCGGGACGTGGCGCGGGTATAAAAACGAGAATTACGACGTCGCCCGTTATAACCCGTTGTCCGACATCCGTTACATTCGAGAGCTCGCGATACGTCGCGTCCGAGGGATAATACGCGCTCGCGCACGCGATGCGTCCGTGCGTGTGTGTGTGCCGAAAAAGAAGAAGAACAACGTCGGGCAAGGTGTCGCAAAAATCGCGCATCGCCGTCACATCGAATCCACGAGGTGGACTCCGGACGGTGTATTCGCATTAATAGAGACGTAAAATACGAGACGCTGCCTTAATTAAACGAGCGTCACGCGATTACAAATTGCTCACGGAGAAGGTGGTCCTTGAGAGAAGATGGAGAGGGAGGGAGGGAGAGAGAGAGAGAGAGAGAGAGAGAGAGAGAGAGAGAGAGAGAGAGGGATGGCAGGAGAGGGAGGGAGAAATTAATTTATTCTTCGGGTGTTTTCCATATTCAACGTGTACCTTGCGGTAGGAACGATTAAATCGCTAGTTGGTCGGTGATGCTGCGTTTCGAGGAATCCGGTTACGGATAATAGTACGAAATTGCGCGGCGGCAAGGCTAGCTCATCTCTCTTCCTCCTCTCTTCCCTCACCCCTCCCCTCTCCTCTCTCTCTCTCTCTCTCTCTCTCTCTCTCTCTCTCTCTCTCTCTCTCTCTCTCTCCGCCGGTCTCTCGCTCTTTACTTAAATCGAAAATATTTTTCGCCCGAGACAAGCCTCTTCAATCTCGGACGGTCGTCTTTCCCCCTCGTAAATCACCGCACCCCGGAGCGTATTTTAAGGAATCTGCGCCAGACGAGGAAAATGCGACCCACTTCCCGGCTACTTTATGGCGAATTCGGTTACTCGCGTTGCACTTGTATTACATGATCCACTCATCCTTGCATTTTTATATATATTTTTTCAATACAGTTAACCGTATATCTGATGCGTTATTTACACACACACACACACACACACACACATCAGCACCATTATGAGCAACGTGTGAACAAAATGATTGGTCTCGCTCCGCTTTCCCGTTTTCTTTTTTCTCTTTTAATACCATGGTATTTCCATTTATCCTTGTTCCATATCCTTTGCCTACCGGTAGCCGCGCTCGCACTGATCGAAGTCGCCTACATCTCGTACAAGCCCGTGCCCCGCGTGATATCCACGCGGGAATCTGCATACGAGTCTCGCAATCAACGGATGTAACGATTGGATGCACCTCGAAATATCTAATCGCCGGCTCGGTCATCGTAGATCTGCCGTGCCGCTGCTGCGAAATCACGCCCCGGACGAATTACCGTTTCTGATTGACATTGTTAGATATGCTAAGGTGGCCGATGCATTTCGGCCCTGTCCCGTGCGATCATTTAGAAAACTCCATACCGAGTCGGATTTTTGGCTCCACTTTTACTGTTTGACGCAAATTCCGTCAAACTTGGAGAGCAAATTTCTGGATTTTGCAAATTAAAGGCTCTTATTTCAAAGTTAAAGTTAATTATTCGCTACCTGCGCTTCATCTATATTCTGTATTTCGATAAGCAATAGTTTTTCTTCGTAATTACGTCGTCACTTTTTAGTTGACTCCAGAACTTTCGTTCGAGAAGATTTGAATATTCGAAAGAGACGAGTGCGAAGAGCTCGTGAGATCGGAGGCAGCAGTTTCCGATAACCATCGGTAAGAATTTCAATGAGCGGGGGGCAGGTTACGACACGGCAGGCGAGAGTAGCAAAATGATGGGCAAATGAGAGCTCGCCGATGCGTGGCCAAGCAACAATCGAAACTATCGAAACATTCGAGCCGAGCTCTCGAAGCGATCAATATCACTTCCGGTGTTACATTATGCGTTTCAGCGAGCGAGCGACCAAAGTATCTCGTCGGCTCTTGACGGCGTATCGCATCGGACCCAACAGCATCGTTGGTCAACACGCGCGGCGTGGCGAACCGTAGCTGCGAATGAACTCGTGAGAATAAACGCGACATATTTCAACGTGCACGGCGGGCGGACGGAGCCGCTCCGCTCCTTCCTCCCGAAGAATGAATCCCGCGAGCCGCAGAAACGGCGGCTATCAATTATTTAACGGTTAGAATTTAATCTCGTTCCAGCGCGCGGCGCGGGATAACGATCGCCCTTTGATAATTCGCAGCGGTGTGGAAATCTCGCACACTGAACTATCGCGCATTCACAGGTTGCATTGTGGGTTCCGTCTCCTTATCGGCGAACGTCGGGCACCGTCAATTAAATGCGCGAGGCCGCCCCGCGCGCGCGCGGATCTATCTGTACACGAATCTCAAGTCCGCCTCGCCGGCCGGCGGATATAATAGCTGGCTGCATGCTCCAAGGATCTCTCATCTGATCCGCGAGCCCGAACATGCACCGTGGGCCACGTCCTCCTCGTGTTCGCATCGCATCCGCGCGACCCAGAGGTCGAATCGCTGCACGCTCGAAACGGTCCCAAAGGTTCAACCGGTCCCTCCATCTTCTGGCGCGATATCTCATAAACCCCGCGTTTCCGTCCCGAGCTTGCTTCTCGGGGGAAGAGGTTGGGATCTCTTCCGCGACCGAGTGTCTTTTCAACGGCGACGGGACATGAGACATAAATTTGACGAAATACAAAATTTGAAAGCAGACTGAGGATCCCCCCCCCCCCCAGACGCGACGCGAGCACTGAGAGAGTCGAGAAGCCGAGAAGCCAAACGAAAATCGTTGACCTTGTGATAAGGAAAATTGAGGTGAAAATTTCAGCGAGTGTGAGACGAGGGAAGAGTGGCGAGGTGAAATAAACATTTCCGCCGACACGGGAACGAACGGAGGCCCCGGCCGGGTAACTCGGTGTGAATAAACGAGAGAGAGAGAGAGAGAGATCTCCCGCGTATCGGGAGATCGACTTCATCCCCTCTTCGCAAATTAAAGTCCTCGACGGGGATCTCGCTTCTCGCTGATCGCGTCATTGGCGTGCCCAGCGTAAATCCACTTGCCAATACGGCAAGTTCGCCGCGTAACGGGCGTTGCGCGAAGAATGGTCCTCCAAGGTTTAACCGCGCAGCTCTCCTCGGTTTATGCCCAACACAATGGGCCAAATTTCCGCGCTCAAGTTGGCCGACGGTTTGCGCACAGTTGCGTAATCGTAACTAGACCACCGGGTTAGCCTTCCACGTTCGTCATCTCGCTTTCGTTGCAGCGCGTTGCCCGCGATCCCACCGCGGAGAAAGTCTTCCTCGTCACGACGACGGCCGCGATTCGCGGCGATTCCTCGCTACAGA